ACACTTATTAGAATTAGGAGTTTAAAAGATTTACCGATGAACTCGATAGTTTAAAGAAAAATAGTTTAATCTCAAAAATAGTTTTTGTTTTTTTAACATTGAATTTTTATTATTATCCTATTATAAATTATAAAATTGTTAACAACAGACAAGTTTACCACTTTGATTTTACAAAAAGTTTAAACTCTAAATTTTGATCGGATTTAACGAAGTCAACGCAATTGTTTAATAGCAATTTTATATATGCTAAACTAAAAAGTGAGTTGGACATTTTGTTTTTGTCATTTTCTCCACCTACTAGTACGTATTTTTTAAACAACCTTCCAAAAAGAACAGTCCCCTAGTTTGATTCCAACACTATTTTGTTAATACTAAAACTTATAAAATGATGTACAATTAAAATGCACGACAACTTGTCAATTCTCAATTTATTATACTCTTAAATTCTTAACAAGAGTTTCTCACATCTGACACTTGTAGAGAAAATTATGTGATCGTTTGGTAGATACAGTAAAAGCAAATTCAAACCCCGCCTTCTTATTACAACTTGGATACAAACTTCTTCAGTTGGTCGGGAGCATCTTTAAGTTGGTCCGGTATAGGTACACCGCAGAAGAGAGTAACCCGGGATGTTGATACCATAATCTTGTTGTCCAGGTCCTTGGTTTTCCATAACCGGACCTCCCAGACCTAGTTAGACACAAATTGATCCAAATTTTTCTAATTTAAGTAAAAAATGTTCGATTACAAAATAATAGTATAATCACACACTGAATCCGTGTTGCTTTCGTTTACAATAATATATATAATTAAGCCTTGGTTTAGTCAAATGTATGTTAACAAAAAACAAACTGCCCAACAAAGTTGGTACAAGACCTGCTTTTCTGGCCGGAATATATCAACAAAGCTGTACCTGAATATTTTATATTTTTATTGTTAATCGGTAGACGTATAGGTGTACCTGAATATTTTTGCCGACGGAGACTGGAAAAGATTCGGCGAAGATGGAATCGCCGAGGGCTGCAGGTCGGAGGTGGTGGATGGAGAGATGGATACCAGCGACGCGTTTATAATCAGACGCGATTCCGGCGCCGAGACTGGCGAGTCCCTCGGCGATCAGAGCGGATACGCCGCCGTGTAAGACTTTGAACGGCTGGCAGCATTTAGTAGTTAGGGTGAGGCGGCCGGAGACTCTGGTGGCGGAGAGCTCTTCGAACACGAATCCTAAGCTGTTAAGCGGCCCATCAATGATAAATTCCGGTGATTTCGGATCCATTCTTAGGTTTCAACGATCGATCAAACCAATTTTCTTTATTGTTTTTAGTTGCATATGATTTGTTTTTTGTTTATTATTGGCTTTTAAAAGGGTTTATTCAGTTGATGACGTTAAAGGGAAAGAAGTTTACTGGGCTTATCGGGCCTTCAGCCCACCTCCAGTTTTTCTATTTGTCACTTGTATATTAGCCGAACACAAATGGTCCATTATTAATCGAACACAACACAAACATTTAATTGGTATTAGATTATCAAATGCAAAAAACAACAATTTGAGTTATTAAACCGATTAAACCAAATTTTATTACATT